AGAAGAAGATTTTTGAAATATTGGATAATTTTCCCTTTGGGGCCCCGCCCTGGCCCCAGGGGTTGGGGTAGGAATCCCAATTTTACAGTTTTGAAGCCTCATCTACCAAGGATGATTCTGACCAAGTTTGAAAAAAATCCATCCACTGGTTCTTGAGAAGAAGTTGAAAATGTAAAAGTTTACGCACGACGCACGACGGACGACAGACGACGACGGACGAAAAGCGATTAGAATAGGTCACTTGAGCAAAGCTCAGGTGACCTAAAAACTTACACACGCTATAATGTAACATATGTTTAACTAATTGGAAATGCTATTGTTTGACACTGGTTTTCAGTACCTTCCATATTTAGTGGTATGTTGAAGACTTTCCTCCGGCTTAACCTCTACTTTCACTTTCGCTTTCCTTCTACAACAAAAAACCCAGTAATCCTCACATCTAAAAATTCTGAAAGGGGACAGCATCTTAATTTTTAGTATTACCTGGTACACACCCAAGATGGCAAACAGATACAAGTGAATGAAATATGGACACATAAAAATAAAATATAAGGGGGAGGTGGGTGGGTGGGGGGAGTGGGGGGTGCAGGCAGAAAACAAATATTAACACTCTTTTTATAGATCCTGCCATCCATATATTATCAGTTATAAGAAATCCCCTACCTCTAACCCCCAAAATAAATGAACTTATATGTTAGCAAAAAGCATTGTAGCCTGGTCCTTAGAAAAAGGGTTAAGAAGTATTCCTGAGTTTGACTTGAGTGACATACTATCAGCTTCCAGATTTGACCTTTAACTGCAAATTCTGTTAAAAGACTGCATTGCGATTAATGGACTTAGAATGGGCTTAACACTAACATGGTCCAGTCTTGTAAGCACATCACATACAATGCATATATTATTATAACAAACTGCTTGTTATTCCTCCACCACCCTAACTAAAACACTGGCTAGCCTGGTTATGTTTATATAATAAAACATATATCACATGCATGCTGTATACTGTAAACATACTTATTATGAGGGTTAGTATATTTTAGCACTTTCCAGCTTATTAGAAACTGCTAAATAATGATATGCTTAATATAAAATCACCTTATTCTTGTTCCTATAGTAGAAAGAATTCCAATCACAACATGCTGAAAGATGATACATTATTGGCCGACTAATTTTAATGCTTCTAAAGTTGAGGTGTCATCAGGACCGCGAAAGGACCAATAATTTAACTTACCGGTACCAGTTTGAGCAGAGGATTTGAATTTCCTTTTTATTACTGTTTATAGTCCTTAATGTAATAGACAACTGTTGAGCTCATTATGTGTGTCATTTGAATTTTTTCCGCTGATTTCTGGAAATATGAGTGAGTTACCATATGTTTACAGTATACAAGGAGCAGAACCAATAAAGCACATACACAATTATGATTATACTAGTTAAGTGGTATAACCAGTATTACATTCTTAGCACCACACAGTATTATGACATAGTCAAAATATGACCCTGATTAAATATATCAAAAGAAAAAGAAAGAGAAAAAAAAGTGTTGGTAAAAATAAAACCAATTAATACAGCAGTATAGCAACTTGCCGAAGATGTATTGATGTATACAACTTCAACCAATAAAGCACATACACAATTATGATTATACTAGTTAAGTGGTATAACCAGTATTACATTCTTAGCGCCACACAGTATTATGACATAGTCAAAATATGACCCTGATTAGATATATCAAAAGAAAAAGAATTGGTAAAAATAAAACCCATTAATTAATGCAGTATATATAGCAACTTGCCGAAGATGTATTGATGTATACAACTTCCACCTTTATTTACATTTTGTACTGTTTCTGTACACACATGGGACGATATTAAGGGAAGATGTTTTTCATCAAGATAGTTCATGATGATGAATAACAACCATGCAGTTATTTGAAGCCGACGTACATAGGGGGATTAACACAATTTAGCTTTAGAGCTGCATAGATCGGAAACCTGACATGCTATCTTAAACAGTATTGCATTCAATAGTTAAACGTGTGTTCATTGCACACACATACCCGGTACATAAATATAAACACAACTTCCGGGGGGGGGGGGGGTTGAAAACAAGCTTATGCAGAGATTTCAATATCTTTAACACCAAAATTAAGCAAAAATCAGTTGTTAGCTGAGTACATTACAACAGTTTTTCAGGCATATTTCTGTAAAATGTTTTGAGTAACAAAGCCTGAATTAAGTTCAACAATATTTCTCTGTACTCTGATACTATCTTTCCTTAAAGGAGCAGGTCACCCTTAGTATTTGACAGCTAACATGTGTCTATTGCTGTCAATGAAGTTTTAAGGATATATAAACTCATGCATTAAGAATAATAACATCAACTATGATTATTTAATAATAAGCTTAAAATGTATTCATACAAAAACAAACACTCTTATTTTTCGATTTTTCTACCTTCAATGCGTAATTTATGAAACTAAGACTTCTACTCCTAGGATGAGAAGTCAAACTTACTTCTCATCCTGGCTATCTTCCTCTGAGGAGGAGGATGAAGATGTTGATGAGGAGGATGACCCAGAGGAACTCCCTATCAGAGTACCCGGTCTCAGGGTCTCACTCCCATCCATGGTAATTGATCCTCCGAGTGAGCTGAGGCCCCGCGCCACCTTCTGGAACTCTCTTCTAGACCCAGGTCTGTTCACAGGCACAAATCTGCAAAACAAGACCATCTTGTTTTCTGGAGAGAAAGCTTGGAATATAGCCAGAGTTTTCTATGACCTTAACCACCAGACTAAGACATTTTAATAGATAGGTGTGGGACATCTATCTGTCAAAATGTCTAAGTCTGGTGTCAGGGCTAGAGGAAACTCAGGCTAGCCTGGAATATTGTTTACTAAGTCACAGTGGTCTGTATTTGCAATTTCAATTGAAACACTTACCATTCTTAATTACGATTCAAAGTTCTGCAACAGGGGAATTTGACCGTCAAAACCTTACATTCTTACCCTTTTCTTGTCTTTTTTAGAGGTGAAATAACCTGAACTAACAATTATTTCTGAGTTTGAAAAAAAATCATATTTTCAAGTAATGTTTTGTTTGCAGAAGATATTTTGTCTTTTATTTCAACAGATGTATCATTTTTGCAACCACTGCATACTGACATCAGAAAATAATCAATGAAGGCCAGTAAATAACTTCATCCATTGGATTCTGTAAGTATCATTATTACAGACTGGTTATGACTTGGGTCAATCTAAATGAACAATATATCTAAAACGTAAAAAGAGCTAAACAGTAATTAACAGCCCACTGTTGTTGTCATTTACACTAAGTTAAAGCAGACATTTTTATCTGTAGCTAGAAGATAATTCCAGATTACCTGCGACTGTCTGGTTGATTACTTGTCTGTACAGGAACGGCAGCTTCCTCCTTGATGGGTTGTTCAGTCAAAGGCATTAGATCAGCTCCTTGTGAAGCCCTGCTGGGGAGAACGTTCGCCATTCTCAGCTGGTGCTGGTCAGTCTTTACCTATCAATGTATCGGAAACACAATGGAACATTTACCTGTTGTGTCTGTATACCAGCAGTTTTATACATGATTAGGTCGATATAATTTAGATGTTCATTTTCTTGTTCTGTCATCATTTTACCAAATACACTAAAATTATGATCACAATTTCTGTGTTAATCTTTCTAGAAAAATACTGGATTAAATAGCATATTGATTGCAGACACACAAAGTTACAGAATAAAAATACATAAAACTGCATTTACGTTATATAAAAAATTATATTAAGTCAGTTGAAGTTTCATTATTACTAAAATCTTACAGGAACATCCCGCTTGATGGTACCACCAGACTTCCTTATAATCTGTTCCTGGAGAGCATGGGTCAGTTTGCCTACAATTCTGTCCTGCACTGCTGTGTTTGACTCGGAAGCCGCTATAACAGCTAGGGCTCGTTTGAAGCAGTCGATGGCTCGAGCGATATTTCCGTTGTTGAAGGCTACTGCCCCAAGGCCCTCTAGCACCTGCCACTGTGTGCGAGTGTCTCCTGTCAAACAATAAATCAGGAGGGATTCAATCTTGTTTTATTTCCCAAAAATATGAACTTGAAATAGAAATCCATGGAACATGAATTATCAGAATCCTTTTTATATATACCCGGGCCACCAAGGTATGATGTATTTATCTAAAGTACTGGAAATTGAACCTTCATGGGGAAAAAAATTAACAGGATGTCTAATCTACTATTCTGAATAAAGTTGTTTTTTGTTTTCAATGAATTGAATGAAGGCATTTGTGCATTTTAATGGAGGTTAATTCAATGACCCAAATATATATATAATTCTTAGCTGCCTGGCAAACCTCCATATCTTTAGCTTGTTGTTACTTATCAGTATCTTTGGCTCTCTCATGGGGGGAGGTCTGGGGTTAGGGGAACAGTAGTAACCAGGTATTCATCAGTATCTTTGGCTCTCTCATGGGGGGAGGTCTGGGGTGAGGGGAACAGTGGTTACCAAGTATTCATCAGTATCTTTGGCCTCCTCATGGGGGGAGGTCTGGGTTTAGGGGAACAGTGGTTTCCAGGTATTCATCAGTATCTTTGTCTCTCTCATGGGGGGAGGTCGGGGGTTAGGGGAACAGTGGTTACCAGGTATTCATCAGTATCTTTGGTGGCCTGGTGTCAGGGTGGTCATGGTCAATTACTTTAGGTACTCACCAGTAATCTATCTTTCGCTAATAGATTGATGATATGGCATGGGATGGCAGGAATTGCTTAGCACTGATCAGCATATATGGAGGTTTGATTGGACTGCGGTAGGGGATGGCTGAGGTCACGGTTACCCAGGAGGTTTGATTGGAGTGCATGGGTAGGGGATGCCTGAGGTCATGGTTACCCGAGATACATTACTCACCAGTATCTTTGGCAGCTTGGTGGGCATGAAGAAAGGCCTCCCCAGCCCCTTCTTTGTCTCCTAACTGACTCAGAGCAAAAGCCAGATTAGCAAAACACTGTCCCTGGCTGTTCCGATTCTTCAGCTCAGCTGTTGATATAAAAGTGTTCAGATTCATAGCAAACTAAATCCATTGCAACAAGTATTATTAATGGAAATTAATTTTCCATTTTCTCTATTTTTCTATGATTTGTGATAAAAAATTATTTAATATCTATTATATATGTACATATAAAAAAAACACAATAAAACTTTTCCATATAAACACTTCACACTTACTATATCAATACACTATTCTACATAATGTTGAAGCCTGTGTGAGCTAATTCTCATATACTAATACACTTTCTGATAAGAAGCGTTATTTTAATGTGACTCTACTAAAAAGACAGAAACCCTTCTAAAACTCACCGTATAAAGCTGAGGCAGATTCATGGAAGCCAACAGCTCTCTGGTAGTCACCAAGGAAGTTGTAGGTGGCACCAAGGTTCTGGATGATCACAGCTTCCTGCTTCTTATCACCTGACCTGCCACGGACCAATGGTAATGCTTGCTCAAAACAAGCAATGGCTCGGTCGTACTTCTGCATTTGTGTGAAGATCAGCCCAAGGTCATTTAGAACATTTCCTGAAAAAGGCAAGGCAATTATTTGGAATGAAATAAACAACTAAGGAAGAAAAGTGCTTTATATGAAAAAGGATGTTTAACATGTAGAAAGAAAATGAATTAGGACACCAAAATAGTTGTATCACAATTTGTGTCTGTGCAGGTAAAAAAATCTATTTCAATGTACATACAGCTGTTCAACAATATGTATAATAATAATAACAGTATACTCACCGACTTGCGTAACAGGACCACATTTCTCAGTAAGTTTGAGACATTCATCAGCGGTAGCTTCAAACTCTGTACATTTATTCTGCTTGTGCTGTTGGTTGGCTTTCTGACACAAGCTCTCTAACTGTTTAACAGGTTTATTCAATAGAGCATAAACATCTGCCAATTTTCCAAGGGAATCTTCTGCAAAAATGTTGTCTGCTTTCACTTGAAGATTTCCAAGTTTTTCTAGAGATTCAGCCTCCATCTGAAGATTATCTCTCTCAGATTTATACTCTTCATAGGCTTTTGTGTAATTTCTTACAGCTTCCTCAAGATTTCCAAGATTTTCAAATCCTAAGCCGAAATTGAAGTATAGGTCCCCGTTTGATCGTCCCTCCTTTTTGTTGTCTGGAGGAACAGCTTGCTGCAGAACATCTAATCCTCTTTTGGCCTGGTTAGCAGCAATATATGCAGCACCAAGGTTGAAAGCACATGCCCTTTCAGTATAGCCATCGTCAACATCCCGAGAACGTTTGTAAGCATACTTAAATGCATCCAGGGCTTTTTCTATATTTCCCACTTGGAGATCGGCTGTTCCTTGCTTGGAATACCTCTCCACATCTAATGCTGCTAGGCCTATTCTTCTATCCATCCTCATGTCATTAATGTTCCAATTAAGTATAAACAAATCTGAAAGAAATTATAAATATGAGATATATTAATTCATCTATTCAAACATATAAAAATTGATACTGAGGTGTTTAAATTTTAGCAGTTTTCGCTCTACTTTAAATGTGCCAAACTATTTAAACTGTTAGATATAAAATCACTGTAACAAATTTAAATCATTACCTTTATAACTTGAAATTTGTTGTTGATATATGAATATCTACCATTGTATGGCAGTACAGCTATATACCCTACCAAATTCAGTTGGCATTCATTTAGTCTACGAATGCCATGGACTGATTCACTTACTGTTGATGTCATCTATTATGACGTCATAATTGTTACGTTGGATACCCTCCCTGGGCGATGGCTGTTCTATTCATTGAACAAGCATACATTATTTGAACTAAATGCTGAATAATAACAAGTGAAATTGAATATCCTAATATGACATAAAAAGATTCCAAAAATGGTAAATATAAGCATTGAACTGCTTTCAGTTGGTATTCATAGGCAATAGCATGCTTTATTGAAGTTGCCTTTGTCCAGTCGGCATTCATATTACCTATGAATGCCAACTGAAAACAGTTCAATGCTTAATTGAACTTAGATTGTACATGAGACTGCATGAGTATATGTCTTCTAGTACTGTTGATAAAGTAAGATATAGGTCTGTGTTTTTATAGATTATTATTGTGGTGCATTGCAATCTTTAATACTCAGGAACTAAACACAGACTAGGATGTATGTTAGGTCACTCACAAAGATTGAGACTTGACCACAAACTCTTGTAGTTGGTGAACATTAGGATAACTACAAACAAGGATCAAGTGAAGCTGACATCATTTTTTTTGTATCAATTTCAATATTCTTCAAGAATATGTATGTAATTATGGGAAAAATATTTACAAATATAAATGATTTCCAAAAGTTATTGTCAATGATCTTGGCTAAAACCACGACAGTGTTTATAATGTCTTTGTTCTCAGATATGGGCTAATTATATATATATTAACAATTCAATTTCCACATGAACATAAAGTTGCCAAATACATAAAGGAAGAAACAACAAAAGGACGGTCTCACTAGCCGCGGCTATCTATCTAATGACGGGGAAAACAGAGTGACCATGTACCAAAGCTATAGCTTTTTTGTATACATGTATGTTGTCATCTTAATTTCAGCATTTTAGAAACAAATAAGTTAACAGCACAGTTCAAATATCTTACTTTATAAATGGCGAGAATACATGACCATATACTGGCAGAATTTCTGAATAAATGTGCGAATGGACGATCGATAGGGATCATGTGGCAACATAAGCAAGTGAAAGGTGTGTAACGTTAGCGTTATTTACCTACAAATTCTGCGTGTATGCAGTGACCGTGTTAATTCTACTGTGATCGTAATTACAGCTTAATAATTGTAACGTGATAGGAGTGATTACTACCAACATCGATACAAATATTTAATTACGGAACACCTAAATCATAGGTACTTACGTCAACAGGCACCTGTCGGCTTAGCTGTCCGCCATTGCTGTTTACAACCTGTTTCATGGCAACTCGAAGCGTTGAAGAGTTCCACATTTAATTGACTGCACTTAGGAGAAATGTAAATGCTTTTTAAATGCATGCACTCAATTTCAATGAGTTAATTCAAAGTTAACTTATCTAGATATGAATCAGGCTAATGTATGTGTTTGCGACAAGGGCCTAGAAAGAATGAACAGACTGATCAACTTAGCGTCATGTCTCATCCATATCAGGGGAGCTAACTCTTACACGAAACACTCATTTTGACAGTAAATGAAAGATTCACAACTTAGCAACTCTCATCTTCCAAGTAGGGCAAAATTGAGGAAAATGGTGAAAATACATGATTTTTTTCTCAGGGGGGGGGGGGGGGGGGGG